AATTCCCCCTTCCAAAATCATATTATGATGTTATAATGAGATACGAAGGATTTTCTATAGCACAACAGATAGAAGCCCATAATAAAATGCAAAGGAAAATATAATGCAAACCGCAAAAGTGGAAATACGATCGAACAGAATATACCTTCTTGATTCGGCTCCAAAGGTAATCATCAAATATCACATCCTTCACGAGCTCATAATCACCGTCGCCCTTAAAATATTACATAAAAAATGAGACGTCAATTTCTTTTCTTTTCTTTTTTCATGAAAATCCAAGCTGATAACTCGTACAAGGGAAAAACTCTGAGGATACTTACTTTAGATCTGCATGGCATACTAAAGACAATATCATCTACTATTCCATAAGGATTGCCAGCAGTATATACCTGAACATTGAACATATATAGTGCAGAAATCCTGTAAGACTAAAGCATGTAGAACTCAAATGCAGTCCATGAATCATCTATGGATTTAAATCGTCTTACAACCACTCAATAGCACAAAGAACCTAAAGTTTACTAAAATGAAGTCAATTAATCAATATACTTGCAAATGATGGTCATGATATCTTTTATAATTTGTGCAGTTCAGATTTTAATGCTAAAAACAGTCTCCATGATTACTTGGACACCCTAAACAGTCAAGATTGTTTTGAACATAAGTTACCTAAGAGTTTGTTATACTTAGATGTATACCTTGATATAAGACACGTAATGTCAGTGTGATTAATTTTTCTCGCGAAAATGTTATAATCTTCTTTTTTAAAAAAAAAAAAAACAAATAAAGGGAAACAAGATAATAACTTTGTAATAGCAACAATCAACATTCTCCAATGTTTTCACAAATTCAATAATAGAATTTACCCCATACATAAACATCTTACAAGCTCCATCATTTTGTGTTTTCCAAACACCTCGACCACTCATTTCAAACCCCTCTCCATACGAAAGATTTTGTCAAATCATTCAAAGAAGTTGAGCAAAACTTACTCGTAATTCAAATCACACAAGCACACAAAATAAAGAAAAAGAAGAATAAACTTATCATCAAACTCACCCCTGAGGAGAACCAATCTCCCTCGGCTGTAGGAGTTACAAGAGACCTAATAGCATCCACAATCGACACTGCAGTCGATGCTGCAGAAGACCTTCCCCATTTCTGAATGAGGGCCCCACCTCTCTGTGAACACATCAATTTTATATTGTGTTTGGCAAAACATCACTCATCTGGCACAACCATAAACCTTAATTTTAATGAAGTCTCACCTTCTGGACCTTCTCTGTGAACTCTTCTTCTAACCACTTAGTATCTATGATCACATCCTTGACGGGAAAACCGTTGATTTTGGCATTTAAAAAGTCTGGGACCTGAAATGGAGGACTAAGCACTATTTAAAATTTGAAAAATATTGAAAAAGAGAAAATATCAATCTCTAATCAATGAATATTGAGTGACCTGTGTGGTAGAGTGGTTTCCCCAAATGGTAACATTTGATACTTTGTCATAAAAAACACCAGCTTTAAGGGCCAACTGCACATGAAAATACAACAAGATGGCCGGTTTTTTTTTTTTTTTTTTTTTTTTNGGATTAAGAGATATCGAGATATCAGTAATAAATTAATGGATGCAACTGAAAAATACCTGACATTTTGCTCTATTTTCATCTAACCTAGTCAAAGCATGAAAATTCTTGGCTGGAATATTCGGGGCATTTTTCAAACAGATCAAGGCGCTTCAAAGGCCAAAGACGAACATAATTAGTAAGCGCAGTTGGGAATGAAAAATAAAAGGGCTGGAAAAAATAGTGCATATCACTTTACTTGGTATTGCAAGGGTTCCCCACTACAATTACTTTCACATTTCTGGATGCAACAGCATTCAGGGCCTTTCCCTGCAAATGATGGTCCAAAAATATATGACTACTATAAACTATGAGGTAGCTTTTTTTAACACAACAAAACTAAAATAAAGATAACCAAGATACACATGCACAAACAAGATTATAAAGTGACTCTCACCAAAGCATTAATATGGAGAGGGAAGAAAAAAGAGAACCTGTTCTGCAAATATCTGCCCATTTATGTCTAGTAAATCTGCCCTTTCCATTCCGGGCCCACGGGGCTTTGCACCAATCAAAAGGGCCCATTCAGCATCTTGAAACACATCATAAGGATCAATGCCAATACTCACTTCCCTCAATAAAGGAAATAATGAGTCCTCGAGTTCCATTGCAACTCCTGAAGTGTATCCATCAAGAATTATCAGCAATTTCCAAAGAAATAAGGACCTAAAGTAGGTAACAATGTACCTTCAAGTGCTTGGAATGACCGTTCAGATCCTAATAACTTCAATGCGATAGGTTGATTTGGGCCAAATACCTCTCCTGAAGCAAGCTGAAAAGAGGAATTAAAAAGTTACAGCTTAAATCATGTAAATACTTTCCCAGAAATATAAAAAATATGCAACGCGGTTTAGAGAGCCGAACAACATTTCCAGCAAGTTATCCTTTCTAGAACAATGGAGTTTTTAACATAAATGGTAATTATATTACCATCAAATACAAAAACTAACGGTTCATGGATATCCTTGCACCACTAGCAGAGATTTGCATTAAACAGAAAACGAGGAAGAAATAGAAGAGAGAAAAAAAGAGAAAAAGGCAATACGTGAACGGTGAACCATCTAATTTTTTGATTGTCATATGATCCTTTCGCCAAGTATATTAGATATCATTCATTCTATGATGAAAAGTAAAATAGGTTTTTCTCAGTTCGTAATAGTGACCATACTTCTCTGCACTAATTGATTTTCATTACTGGTATTCAAATGGAGAAAATGTAAAAAGATAACAATCAATAATGTTTCTCACTTTAAAAAGTAGATGATTTGATATCATCCCCGCAGCCCCTGAGACAGCAATATTAATTAGTTTCTTCCAGGATTTTGTTTCCTCTTCCTGCAAAAAATATATTCAGGCAAAAGTAAGGGAAACTCTAAAAACTTAAAAGCATATTTTTAGTCCTTCTCCGTAGCTTCCAAAGACAATTTTTTCAAATTCGGTAGACCCATGATCATGAAACCTGGCAACTAACACATGCATAACCCATAAAATATATTTCTCTGTCATTGTAAAACAAAGAATTAATTTCTCTGTCATTGTAAAACAAAGAACTAATTATATGAGGGAGCACGGACTAGAAAATTAATACAAGGGGTGAAGTCTACTGTGGTCCTACAAGTACTTAATAACATGAAAGTTTAAATGTCCCTTGAAGTGGGAAAAGGGAAAAGAGGCCCATCTATCTATCCGCTTCAAATTTATTAAATCTAACCCATACAATTTTGGATGAACCAGAAAGATTAATGACCTCAAGAGATTTAGCTTCATTACGCAAGTAAAATGAAATTACGAGGCGAACATTAAAATATACAGGAGACAGATGTTAGTTGAATGCACCAAAAATACTTACAGCTTTGAGATCATAAGTGAGACAAAAGACCCCATAACAGTCAGGTTTCTTCTTGGGTTCCTCTGTCTTCACTGCCACCGGTGTTTGCACTTCACTGCCAACAATAGCAAACAAAGAAAAGGAAAACAAGAACACCATCACCGAAAAAATCTATAAGTTCAACCCAAGAAAACAATTCTTGTCCAGCACACACGCTACAAATTTCTAAACACAAAAGAAGAGGAAAAAAGGGACTAACTTGGAAGTAACAGAGCATCTAATTGTTGAATTCCGGAAAGGCGGGCAATATGCACGGGGTTTATTGGAAACTCGAGTTGATACATAAGAAAATTGTGAAGAATACAGAAGGGTTTTTCTCGTGTATGAAGAAGATGTTGGGGTTAACTCTGCCACCGCCATGGGAAAAGAGTAGAGAGAGAATTCAGTGCATGAGGGTGTGTGGAGATGAAATGTAGAGATGTAAGAAGGGCAGGGAGAGTGTTTTCCGCAGTATATATGTTTTTCGCAGATATATATTTGAAGAGGGGAGTTTATGAGGTCAAGGAAATGACACTTGTACATTTAAATCTCTGTGTAATCTAATAAATTTGTCCCTTACTTAAAACGGGATGTGTGCGTGATCCGAATAGCAGCTAAACTGAACGATATCCACATTCTCTGTTTTGGACCAATATCGACTCTCATGCTCTGCCTTGTTGCTGAACTGAACGATATCCACATTCTACTGTTTTGGACCAATATGCGACTCTCTTTTTTCTTTTTTTCTTTTTTTCGGCAAATATATTAATAACCTAAAAACTCAAAAAGAGTCGTAGTGCCGACGGACACCACTGAAACCAAAAAACTTGGACCAACTCCCCTTAGATCTACACAGATGATCAAGGAAGTACAAACTCCATAAAAAAGACACACAATGCAAAACACAACTCCAAAGCAGAGACAAGGAGGCTGAGATCCAGACATAGTTGGACTAACCAAAACAAAACACAAGAAAAGGATGAAAATAAAAAATAAAAAAAACGACGCACACTTAAAATAGATTAAGACCTCCCCTACACCTAACCAGCCAAACCGGCACGCGGAGCTCAATATGCGACTCTCATGCTCTGCCTTTTTCCCTCCACTTCATTTCTTTCCTTTTCATGCTCTTATCATGACTTAATCTTGCATTTACTTACCCAGATTTCAGCCTGACAGATTTGCCTCGACCCATGATGAAAAACAACATTATCTTAGATATTCCCGATAAATTGTACCACATTTTGGGGTAAGATTATTCAAATCTTTACAGTATCTCCAAAGAATCCCTAATACTATACAAAGTTGACCATATTACCCTTCATTGGTTAAAATTTTACAACCTAAAACCAGTGTTCTAGAAGTCGCTAGACACTCGACCAGCGCCTAGCGCCCGCCTAGGCAAGGACTAAAAATTAAGATTAAGTACCTTATTTTTTTACTTATTTCACTATCTACAAAATAAAATTATCTGAACTTATAATAAATCCACACACCTAAGTCTAAATAATAATAATAATATATTTTTTTTAAAAAAAATATGATAACAAAATAATGTAATTAGTATTGAAAAAAAAAAACTGAAAAATTGCCACCGAGCCCGCCTAGGCGTCGCCTGACCGCCGAGTTTGCTGAACCCGCCTAGGAGCGCCACCTGGCCGATTTTTTCATGGAAATCGAAGGCATCGAGTGGCCCTAGCGCCTAGGCGGCAGCCTAGGCCGATTTCTAGTATAGTGCCTAAAACCGTATCATTTACTTGCAATTTGCGACGCACAGCTCCTCGACATTCGGCGCTTTCGTTCCTAAAATTGAGATCGAGCTGTAATTAGAGGTTGTTTACCATTGAAGTGGTGGGCGTCCAAACTTGTAACAAGTATGTAGGAAATTTTGTTTGAGAATTTGGAGCTTGTTCGGGAGAATTTAGTTAATAACAATTGGGTGTCGATTTAGACTTTGATCGATGTTGTTGTTATTGTGATCAGGAATGGGGTCAGTGAGGGTGTAAGGAGGCTTTTGTTGGTGACTTTGAAGAATATTGTAGATGGTCATGCCAGAAACAAGGTCAGATTAAAGCCTCATTGAATAGCTTGATATCATGGAATCCAATACCCGCGTTCAACTTTGGCAGTGACATTTTAGTCCAGCTTTTCCAGTGAATACCATGAGAGGTATCTTCTCTTGAATTCCACTAGAATTTAGCACATAGTTTTGAGATTTCTCTGCAAATGGATTGAGACAATTTGAAGCAAGACATGGTGAAAACAGGAAGAGCTTGGATTACTGCCTTTAAGACTTGTTTTCCAGCAGAGTATAGTAATTTGGATTTCCAGCCTTGTAGTTTCCCTTTGATGGATTCCAGGAGATAATCAAATGCCTCCTTCTTGCCTGCCAATACCAAGAGGTAATTCCAAATATCTAGTGGATCTATGAGATTGAATTCCATGTAATGCTAAACTAAAATAATTCAATTACAAGTTTTATATAAAAAGTTACGTTCGGAATACGAACGCTGCGCAAGCAGTTTTCTGTAGAGTTGGCTGCATCTTGAGGTTTAAATTTGACCAATTTTTATCCCTTTAGCATGCTCATTTGCATTTGAGGTCTTCACTAAAAATGTAGAACTATCTTTTGACTTTCCGTATTTTCAAAAATCAGTCCAAAATATTTTCTACATCAAAATTTATGTTCATTATTCGGGAAGTGCCCATAGAATAACCGTCCAATTTTCAACAACTTCGTTTTTTGTTTTTTTTTTTCACTGGTCCGTTTTCGAGTCGTTCGACCCATTTTCGAGCCAAACCTTATTTTAGTTATTAATTATTTGTTATACATTTATTTTTATAATTTCACCATAAGAATATTGATACTTATATGTACTAATGTTTGATTATACAATTATTTTTTCAAGCACCCGTGTAGTATACGTGTGTCATACTAATATATATTATAAAATATTATAGAAAGAATACTTACAAAATGTAGTTGAAATTAATTAGTTAACACAAGAATACAATAATAATTGTGGGGATAGATATAAAGTGAATATTTTTTTTTTCGAAACAGTAGTAAATAATCTCATAAAATAGATATTGTTCGTACACGGGATAAAACATGATCACAATCCATAAAGGATCGGAGACAAGCTAGAAACCTGCCTAGAAAATGAAAGGAGCATAAACAACATCACAACCAAGTAGCAGCCGCAAACTTCTGCGGAAACCTACTACTTGTAAGACCACAACAGAGAACCTGAGTCACAAGACTCCAGCACATTAAACAAACTAGTCACTGCCATGGCCTAGCTAGGAAAAATAAAACAAGAAAAGACCAGACTAACACAGAAAAAAGAAAACATAAAGCATACTAACTAAAACAGCAGCAAGGTCTACTGATGAGATAGAGAGGAACAGTACTCCATCCATTCTTTCACACCAACCTCCACAATGACCTTCTCTAGGGTCATGATTGATGGAGTATACAGTAAAGCAAACTATTGTGTGAGCTTTTGGAATGTATTTATTTGATTTTCCAGTTGACTGGAATAAATGTTTTCACATTGTTGCTTTCTTTATGATTGCTTGTATGCTAAATGTCCAATTATCTTATATTGTAGAAAATGTGGTGTGTTAGTAGTCACACAGAAGATTACATTGTCGGTTCCTTATAAGATATAAATGGTATTCACAACTGAGATAGTTATGGACATGAGTATCGGTGTAGGTTGTAGTATAAACTGGATGTAGCTTGTCTTGGCTATTGGTTTATACTAGTGCGCTGCGTCGCATTGAATGGATCACAGTAGAGACGTGTCCTTCTGTTCTGACTATCATGAAGAACCAAGGTCTCAGTGACTCTACTAATTCTTAACCCTAACTGTGATACTTAGATATATGGGATATTTGTTTGTTACTTTAATTTACCATGGGTGAGAACCAAGTATTGGTTTAATATGCTCGGTATCTTGGGTAACGACATTATCTGCATGATATCTATTTATATGCATTAGGGCACCGTGTCCTGGACATCCAGGTTGATGACGTCCCCTTAAGGAACTCATAAGGATTATCGTATAAACCCTGCAGGTGGATTTAATCTGTACGTGTAACGCCCCGTTTTATTTTAAAGAATTTACCGAATTTATTTATAAAAATCAGAGCTTATTTTTCGCAAAATCCCAATTTAAAACTTTAATAATCAACGGGCGCTACTTAACTACCAAACAAATAAACAATTTAAACAGATAAGAAGGACCTACACATGAATAAAACTAACAGTTCAAGATAAAATCCAAAGTATTCATAAGTCTCAAACCATTCATGCATAATCAAATATTTCAACAGAAATTCAATGGTCTAACCAATATGTTCAAAATAACTAAGGCGGAAGCATAATTATTCCAAGTTAAACAAATGGTCTATCGAGATAATAAAAAGCGGAAGCCAGTAACACACAATTCCAACGACCACCACTCAATCGTCTCTCGCTACCGCTGCCAACCAATGCTCAACCTAAAAAAATAGGAAGAGGAACAAAAGGACAGAAAAGTAAATGGGGGTGAGTACAACCATTACAACACAGTCTATTTCGCATAAATATCCATAACTATAAATAATGTATGCATAAAATCTAGATCTAACTCCCTATTAGGCCCTATCGCAAACCTCCTATGTACATTCAACAAACCTTCCAACCAGACATCGACAAGGATGTAACTGGAAACACTCCCACCCCGGATGCAACAGGCATAGGATCTTATCCAGGAGACAGTGAAGTTGAATTACCCCTCCGCTCTACACGGATTCGGGCGTCCACCTCCCGGATGCAACGGACAGGTGACTTCCACTGATTATGCATTCGTCAAAGGCACTACCGTTGGAACACTTAGACTAGGGTTCTCACGCATACAAAAGCTATTGCGACAAACATTTATACGAAATAACAAGTGCAATAAATGTAGATTCAACATAAATGAACACACCTGGTAGCAATCGAGATAAACACAAAATAAGGGTAGGCGGCGAGGTCGACTCGTCAAGCACCTACATTTATTAAAATAGCCTTATCAAAGAATATTCTACAATTACTTAGTCCAACTAAGTTCACGTAAGCATTTAAGCATGCATGAAATCAAGGAAATCACATTTCCAAAAATATCACATAAGTTTGAAAACTCAACCCGGGCAGCGTTTTTAAAGACCGACATAACTATTAGCCTACAACTCATATGAACATGAATCAAGTTGCATTGAAATCCTATGACATGAATATAAAATTCTTATGAAGACACTGAAAGCAAATAAGGCCATCTAACAGGTGATAAATCAGCAAACATTCAAAATTGAGTCACAGTCCAAAACTGGAAAAATGGACTTGACCAGACTTCAGTAATTACTATCTAACTGGAGCTACAGGCATGCTTTGAATGAAATTCAAAAAGTACATGATAGATAACTCAAATGTCTACAATGTTTCTGAAGACCACATTGACACATAATCACATTATCAACGAGTTTAAACACAAAACATGTGATTCAGCAAAACTGTCAAAAACTAATATGTGATATGAACAACACCTCAAATTGTATCACTTATCTTGAGTTACAGACCTCAAAATGATGTGGTTCAAGTCTCAAATTAAACCTTAAGCATGCCTCTACAACTTTTATTTAGAACACAGAAGCATATAAGATTATTTGGATAG